TTGTTTTTAGTTAGATGGTCATAATTAATTGTTTCTTGATGATTTAAAAAAGGAGCATTTTCTCCGGTGGCTAAAAGCAAAATGCTTTGTTCAGTTTCCAAGGCACAAAGGTTGCCTTCATTTTCCCAATTGCCTTGAAAAAGTAAAAATCTAATGGTCATTATTATTAATTTTTGGTTTGCTTTCACTTTTTTGTTATAAACGATAAAAATTCCATAAATGAGTTTTGAAGAAGAGTTAAGAAAAAAAAAATTACAAGGACAAACAAAAATTCACCAAAACCCTTTTCAAATAACTAAATTTTCACGAAATATTGATTTGCGAACTATAATTCAGCAATTTTCTCATTTCTCTCGTGAAGAATTGGTCGAAAAAAATATTCAAGCAAAAGCAGCGGGGAGAATTTTGCGTTTACGAAACTTCGGTAATTTAATTTTCGCCTTGCTGAACGACCAAGAAGCAAGTATTCAATTAATGGTTAACAAAAACGAAAAATTTAAAGAATTAGATATTGGAGATATCATTGGTATTGAAGGAGTAGTCTGTAAAAGTCAAAAAGGAGAATTAAGTATTAAAGTAAATGATTTTGTTCTTTTAAGTAAGTGCTTGAAGCCGCTGCCGGATCTGCATTATGGCTTCGTTGATACTGAAGAAAGGTTTCGCAAACGCTACTTAGACTTAATTATTAATCAGCAAAACCGAAAAATTTTGATCCAAAGATTTCAAATTATTAATAGTATTCGAGAATTTTTAAACCAACGAGGATTTATTGAAGTAGAAACACCTATCCTAGTTTCAGCGGCTTCAGGAGCCCAAGCAAAGCCTTTTATTACTCATCATAATAAATTACAAAGAGATTTTTATTTACGCATTGCCACTGAAATACCCTTGAAAATGCTCTTGGTTGGCGGCTTGGAGAAAGTTTATGAAATTGGTCGAATTTTTCGTAATGAGGGAATTGATGCCCGCCACAATCCAGAATTTACCACCATTGAAGTTTATCAGGCTTATGAAAATGCTGAATATATGATGGAATTAACTAAGGAAGTTTTTCAATATTTAGTCAAAGAAGTTCTTAAAAAAGAAGAGATTGAGTTTAACTCCCATGTCATTAATCTTAAAAACTCTTTTCATAAACTATCGATGGTAGAAGCAATTAAAGAACATGTCAACAT